TATACATATATATACACATATATACACACACACACACACACACACATCTTTCACCGTGAGGGCGAGCACAGAGGAGGAACTTTGCCCAGGCGGCAGAAAACAATGTACAAACGTATTACTACAGGAAAACACAAAGAACTGTCTAGAAAGGTGCATTCAGTAGAGTGTTGATCTCCGCCAGGTGTGTCTGCAACAACCAATGTAATGTTTGATTGAATGAATACAACCCACAATTGTCAGCTGTGTCGTTAGCGACAAAGATCGTCAGAATCCGAATCCGTGTGTGCGCATAATCATCCACCTGCCACCAATCCAAATGAATTATTTCCTCTGATTAAGAAAGCCCCGCATGGACATTTCCCTGTATAGGCTATGTTGCTTTTTAAATGATGCAATGTGGGCTATTGGTGTAGGCCTATGAGTGTTTTCTTCATCAATATACTTAAATGATTAGAGAGGCTGCTTTCAGTAATTGTAATAACGTGGGACATTTAAGCAGCTAAACTAAAGAATGTCGGCACAGCGTCTCTCTGCTGCCGAGTAGCAGCGGACAGCAGCTCTGCTTTGTTCATATTTTAGAGAATGCAAGTAATAATTTCCTCATAAATTATGTATTATTTTACCCACCTGCTACCCATTTGCTATTAATCAGAATGTTAATTTTTATGACCCAACCTGGCCAATCCGCCGGCGGCGATGCACTCGGCTGTTTTACCACTTGCAGCTCCTTGTGGCCAGGAGTTGTTTAAGAGTAGTGAATAAGGAGTCAGCAGTCACTCAATGGCTGTCAAACAGGCAACGAAAGGTGCTTTGAGAAAGGCGCGAGTCACCGCAACCACGAGGGGTCCTTGAGCATGCAGGCAAAAAAACAACCCCCAAAAATATTATGAGGTTTGCTGCAGCAGAATGTGAGATTAGCCGCGGACAGACACAGAGATGCACACTCATTCACAGTTGCACACACGAGAGAGATCACATGATTCCCCCGGCGGAGATAACAACAAAAGCAGCGTTTAATCACATGAAGTAGTATTAAAAAATAATTTACGTTATAAAATATTACCAGCAGGATGAAAGCTAGGAAGACCGTGTGTGTCTCGGACTAGTGAGACGGCTCCCTGGAGTCATAGTCCTCTATAAATTTCTCCATGCCCTCCACGCAGCGCTTGCCGATGTCCCGGAGGTTCTCCTGCAGCGCAGACTGGATGGGGCGCTCCAGGGTGGGATCCTTTGCTATCAGCATCTTTGCCACAAGGCCAAACATTTCACATTCCTGATAGTACACCTGCAAGACACACGTACATCAGGGATTTGAGGACAAATGGGTAGAAGGGGGGGGGGGGAAGGGAGAGGGAAAGGGGGGGGGGGGGGGAGATGGACAAACAGAAGAGGAAGTGTTGCAGGGAGAGGAAGGGAGCAGAGTGAGAAGTCTTGTCATGCGTTTCCAATTACCACTGAATGGATTAACATCATGCAGACTGTTCACGAGTATCCAGTGTGCCTGTATTCACAGTTTTGTGGACATTTTTGCATCGGCTACCTGTTGCCAGACTCTATTTTCTCACAATAGGATGAGATACGATGTACTTTTAATGTCCCCTTAGGAATAAAGATCTATTGTGGACTCCGTCCTGCAGATCCACAGTCGATGAAAAACATACACCAACGCAAAGCTTTCATGAAAAGGTTTGCACAGTCCGCTGACAATGGCGACATATTGCACAGTCCCCATGGTCTACACCCTTGAGAATCTTCATGGTCAGAGGCAGGAATGGATGTTTGTAAGGGTTCAGCTCTGGGGGAACCTGAATCTGAAGAGCTGGAACTCTGGGTAGGCATTGTGGGTTTGATTGGACACTATTTCCTGTCTGATGATGAGACTGCTCATATATTGTTTGGAAGGACGAGTACTTTTTTTGAACCCCTTATAATTGTGTTCAACTGTAACCACATCAGGCTGTTATCCCATATCTTATAATACTCTCTAAGAGTGCATGCATGGTAAAATAATAACTTCTGCTCAACTCCATAAACCCAACGTCTGTGTAGAAAATACATCTGCTGTTGCAATGCCTCTATAATCCTGCAACCATGGAGATATGAAAAGCAAGACGCCATCTTTTTCAGTCAAGTGGGTGGAAACACACACACACACACACACACACACACACACACACACACACACACACACACACACGATGAGCAGAGCATCATGTGACGTCTGCAACACCGAGGACAGCATTGCAGCACGTGTGGGAGCCTCTTGTGAGACAGGTGAGCCGAGATAATCAACTTAATTTTGCTTTTTTTTTGTTGTTCAATCAATCACGTCGAACGTTGACTAAGACCATCTTTGTCGGGGTTCGCAAAGTGAAGACAATAATGACACTCGTGTTGCCTCAGGCTCAGCATTTCAAAACGTACGATTAGACTACAGAAAACAAATCTTGTCTCACGTCTCCCGGCACTTTCCAAGATCTTTTCGTCTGTCACTCTTTGTCTAATCCCAGCTTGTCTTATCTCTCCTCTTCCTCTTCCTGTTCATAACTAACCCTTCTCCCAAGGTGTGTGTTTGTGTAATGACACTCCTCTACCTCATCTATCTCTTTCCTCTTCTGTTGGATGGCTCTGTCTCGCGTTGCCGTCTGGCTCGCAGTTGAAGGAAGCTCCCCGTCCCTGCTTCGTTCTCTTTCTTTGCTGTTGGTCCCCGAGTGATCTCTCTCCCTGCTTTGGTTCCTGTCGTTCTGAAACAAAACAAAAATGAAACCACAGCTGGAACTTAGTACAGTTTGCCAAAACCGCCGATGACTGAGCTGCTAATGAACAGAAGACGACTAAAGAGAAGCTCCACATGTCGACTTGAAACACTGCTGCGAGTACATTATGAATTCAGAATGTGTTCTGACTGCATGCGTGTTCAATGGTAAAACATGTAACATAAAAAGGGTGTTAATAAATTAAAACTGGTACCACTTCCTAATACGTCAGTTTGCAATGATTTTATAAATGGTGACAATTGACCCTTTGCTAAGCCCCGCCCCCCGCTGCTACTCCGTCAAGCTGTCAGAGCTACCATGGAGCCCACACTGTCACTAACTACACTCCCTACAGAAATATCTATTCATTTGAAAGAACAATAAAGCGATTTCAGAGAGAAGCAGCCTGAAGGGTCCATACTATGTGTTTAAGGTAAATATCCAGGATGTGGAACTGATTGAGCAGTGAAAACAGGTTAAAAAGATAAAGATAGAAGCTAAAGCTACGGATTACAGTGTAAAAGTGAACCACCACATCACCAGACAGAAGGCAATGAAATTAAGGAAAACCACCATTCCTCTTTATTCACCGTTACAATCAATAAAAAGCAAAAGCAGCATGTGTAAACATGCAGTATACCTTCAGTAGCTAGCGTAGCATTGAAGTGCTAACGTACTCTCCAAATGTTAGCTCCACAGGTTTTTAAATTTAAACATAACGTTGAAGAATCTCCTTCAGACCTCTCCGGGTAACAAGCTTCACTATTACAGAACATTTAACCACGACGAGCTCCAAATCCACTGAACCAGCCTGAAGATGAAAGAAATGTGAAACCATTAATGAGAGTCTATGGAGTAGAGCCAGATAGTTGTCGGACCCTGGTCGGAGCTGGCCGATGCTATGCTATGATTGGCCAGTCGGGTACTGGGTAGGGTAGTCGAGGGAGGAGGCTTAGCGAAGGGTCAATTCGATTTATTAATGGTTTTTAAATACCGTGTTCATAATTTAGAGGCCTGGTTATGAAAAACTGAACTGCTTAGGTTCCCTCTCACCAATTTAATCAGTTTCATTTCCAGATGCAACTGCTGCTTTCAACCAGCTGCTGGTCATAGTGGAGCATTTAGCAGCTTAACGTGCCAGATTTCTCCCTCAGGAGTTGGTGGAGACCAAAAGCAGAGCAAAAAGACGGAGTGGATATTGGGCTTACGCTCATCAGGCGGCCAGAAATACGACTCTAAATGAATGCTAATGTTGCTCTGTGTCTGCCGAATGTGTAAATAGGAAACTGTTAGCCAACAAGATAACAATCTTAGCTTATTAAACAGTGGAATCTCTTGTCGTTTCTGCCAATTGAACGACACACTTCATATCTTACCTTCTAACAAGCAGCAAGTCTGCCGTTATTAAATCATTGGTAAAAAGGGTAAAGGTACCAACTGCCTGACTAGCCATCAAAGTGAACACAAGTTCTAAGTACTTACCAATAATCTAGAAAGCATACATATAGAATTCATTAGAAAGTAGCACCACAAAACAGAAATGCTGCACATGAAAAGATGAAAACAAGTCTGTATCATCGTAATCGTGGTAGTACAACAAGAGACACGAGACTATATTACTGTGGCGTTAACAGACATTAGTGACGTGCAGCATCCGGAAACATGAATGACTAACGTGCTTTTAGCTGTCGTTAGTCATCCTATCAACAGACATAACACCACGCATCGTACCTTGAGGTAAACCTACAGCGTATTTATCAGCCGCTCAGATGTATTGACACCGATGAAAATAATGAAACTCTGAGACGAGCTAATCGTTCTTGGATTCCTCTCGCTCTCCTCACTTTAACTTCACTGCAGCAGTGGCCGGCAGTGATTCATCATGTGCTGCTCTGCTCCTCGCCGTGATTAGGTCAGCCAAGAAATGTATGCGATCATTTTGATTCCAGCCCTTTTCCTGCAGCACCTGGGCTGTTTGCATAATAGTCAAGTCATTCTCTGCTGTGAGCTCATGTCTAATCAACAAAGAGAAGCACACATCTACCTTATCATGTAATATATACACAATATAATATTACTAGAACAATTAAGGGATGAATCAATGAGTTAATAAACAGAAAAATAATAATCTGCTACTATCTTGATTGATTCATTCATTTTTCAAACGATAACACTCTCTGGTTTCAGAACGTGCGTGCTGCTTTTCTTGGTTTTATGTCATTGAATCTTTGTGTCGGTTGAACGAAACAAGACATGTGAAGATGTCAGCACTTCTCCTCAGGAAGGCTAGCCTTGAATATATCAGCAGATTTATTGATTATGAAAATAATCCTTAATTTCATGTTTTATCAGGCCGGAAAATTGCGTTTTCGTCCAAATCACTTTCAAATGTTTTTATTTGGTTGTTATATTTTTAAACTGTCAGTCCCTTTAAATCACATCACAATAAGAACATTCAGACTGGGCTGCCCCACTTCACATGGACATTTTGGAAGAAAAGATAGCATATTCGGTCAATTTTAAAAGGATTGGTGGACCACTTTTAACAAAATGGAAAAGCAGAAGCAGGAAGCAGGCTTTCTGCTTGTAAACTTACAATGAACTGCATGTCGTTATCTCTGCTGGAAGAGGATCTTGGTACAAAAGGTCTGGTAGCTGGAAAACAGAAACACAGACACTGTCAACCTAAGAGACAGACTTGTGTTTCTATATATACACACCATGCCTGTAAGTACATACAGCACCTATAGGTGCATCTTTAGACCACCATTGATGGTTAAAGCCCTCTTATCACTCGCTTCCTTTATCTTCAGCCTCCTGTTAAGACTTTTTTTTTTTTCTTCTTGCAATTATCTGGGTCCAATAAATCAATACACATCTTTCAGCAGAATCTGCTGATATTTGGGAATTTGTAATATTGGACCGCAGTGTTCTTCTGTGAAGCAATAGTTTTGTTTTGGCTCATTATATACAGCTGGCTAGTGTCGCTCTCTCTCTCTCACACACACACACACACACACACACACACACACACAGGCGATGAGTCACCATCATCGCACCATCACTCAGGCACACAAAAAAAACCTGTTCCACACTCACACGTACACAAACACACACCTCCACAGTGCTGCAGTATGCGCACAGATACAGCGCCATGGTGCAAGAGAGAAGATAAAAACATACAGTACCAACAGCTCAGTCTGTTTAGAACAACACATCAGACCACTTCATCCCGGGAAAATAACAAAAACATTCACAGTTTGTGTTAAAACAAAGGACACGTGACGGTAACAATAAACCCTTCCTGTTTACTTCCAGACTCCCACTGACAAATGATGAGGTAATGCTCAAGTATCTGATGAGTCTGAGGCTGGACACATAATGTACAGTGCTTGTACTGTACTGCATCACATCATGAGTCCATCTATTGAGTCCAGGAAAGGCTTCTTAGAGGTCGGCATTATGCAACGCTGGTTTTGTTCCATCCAGAGTGCGACTACCTACCAACCACCAGATACCGCGGTGAGCGAATGCCCTCCAAATATCCCAAATGCAAAGTGTGCACGCGTGTGCCTCTGCTTGCCTACACTGCCACCCGATGGTCGTGTGATGAAGTGCACGATGATACCGTGGAGCTTGTAGAGTGTAATATTTATTATTAAGTATGCATGCACAGGAGGTGGCAACAATAACAATAACATTGATTATGTTTTATGGTGGGAGTGTGTCAGGGGGTTGTTTGTTTATGTGAATCAATGATAATTGTTCGTGTTGTATTTAACTGTATTATATATTCGTGTGTGTGTGCTTTTGTTATTGAGTATAGCCACTGCACGTGTGTGTGTGTGTGTTTTTGTTATTGAGTAAAACCACTGCACACGTGTGTGTGTGTTTGTGTGTGAAAGTACATTTAGGATGTATTCAGTGCTTTGTATGGTAAAGCTGAAAATAAACTCCTTGCAACTCATAGATTCATACACCATGTGGACAAAAGCATGTTTACACCATAGAAATAAAACACACACAAGAACATGGGCACAAAAGAAATAGTTTGACATTTACTTTCTTGATGAGAAGATTGGTACCACTCTCTTATGCTACTGTCAATATGAAGGTCAGCTTAGCTTAGTTTAAAGACTGGCCTGGTTTTGTCAAAAGAAAGACAAAAATCTGCCAACCAGCATCTTTATAGCTCAATCATTAACACGTTATGGCTTGTTTTTAATGGCCGTATGAAGGGGCCAGACTATTTCTTGGCCCGGGTCTAATCACTTCCTGGAGTCTCTGGTGGTTTTATGGCCCCTCCACTCTTCTGGGAAGGCTTTCCACAAGAGATCTGGAGGCTGGCTGCAGGGATTTGCTCCCATCCCGCGACAAGAGCAGCGGTGGAGCAATAGGGAGACCTTATGGCCCCCGGTAAAGTCTGCTTAACGAACAGTTGGACCAAAGCAACTCTTATCTATCATTCATTTCCAAGCTGCGTGTGTTGATATGCTGTAAGTAAGTGGTAAACTATTTCAAACCAAAGTTTTGGTGAAATAAAATGAATATTTATTGGGCTTTTTTTCCAGCAATAAGTCTTTTCCACGGACACGTTTATGAATAACATTAATGGGATTCAGCCATCACCAACTTCATTATTTCGACCAATCATTGTTGTTTTCACAGACTTTTGCAGCGGACTAGAACTCACTGTTGTTCTGCTTTGAAGGTGAACTTCCGTCGGCGCTCTCTCTCTGCTCGTACCGCTCCTTGCTCACCCGTTCCCTCTCGCTCAGCGCGATGTGGTGAGGTTTGGGCTGGAAATGATCTCCTCTCCGGTGGAAGTATCCCCGGGGGTTGAAGTGGTGGTACCTCTGGTTAGCGAAGCCGGGTTTGTAGAACGAGTGGTCCTCCCGTGGAAATCTGCAGCATTGGAGAGAGGGGAGAGAAAAAAAAAGCTTTCAGAATCACCTGGTCATCAATATTTTGCAGGTAACGGTTGAGAGGAAGTGCTGCCGGTTCTCCAGCCGTCAGTCTTACTGAGGTCTGTGGAACCGCCCTCCAAACTTGGGCTTGTAAGAATTGGACAGCCAGGCCCTCGGTCTGGATGGACTCCGCACTCTTCTGATCAGCCTCTTCGAGTCCTGTATCGACACGGGGGAACGGTTGTCACAACAATCGCACCGTCCGACAAAATAAAGAAGTTCATTTTGAGTCGTGACACCTGAGAACAGGAAGTGCACCTACAGTGGGAGACGTCGAGCTGTCGGTGGGCCGCTTGTCGACAGGCTCGTCACCGTGTTCCCTGTGCCGCAACATGGAGCCCTGAGGGAATAAAGCAGCACGTTAATCACAGTTATTAAGGTGCTGCAGTACAGGGAGTGTATGATTATAGAGCGGGCTGAAATAATTAGGGGATTAGAGAAATGATTGGCAACTATTTAGATCGATAATTGGTCCATTAATCGTTAATGTGATTATTTGTGTTTTGTAAAGATATAGAGAAGTTTGTTTAGAACAAGACTGGACTTTATATAACAATTACTTTTAAGACATTATCAATACATTTGAATGTAATGTGTATGTTCATGTTTTTCATTTAATTTAATGCATTTACTTTTTAGGTTTCATACGATTGTCACTTCTCTTTTTAACAGTTGAATTGTGTAAAAATTTGGACTTTTTGTTGACACTTTAATAAAAACAATTAACAAAAATATGATGAAGTGAGATTTAACTGTTAGCCGGACAAAACCAGACAAAAGTCGTCCCCGTAACACGCATGTTGCAATCAATACAAATATTGTAACATTGAATAAAATGTAGCACAACCAGAGATCTGCAGGACAAAGTTGACCAAAGTATTCTGGACACGTCAAATACACATGTTGTAACTTTATGAAGTTTGGTGGAGCAACGCAAACAAAAACCAAACTAATGCAGACACATCGTTGTTGCAGATGTTTTTAGTGTTTATTTAAAAGTACAAAGGATCTTTTTAAACTGTATATTGGAGCCTCGGATATGTAAAACCCGGGGAACTCTAATTTGCATAGTCGTTGTAACTTCTGAGTATCAGGATCTTCATTTATTCCCAGAGAGGAGAGTGATGCATGTCAAAAACATAGCCAACCTCATATTACTGTCATGATGGAGTGTCTTCTGGGTGAAATCTTAATAAAATAAAAAGTACTGTTACTCAGTGGTGCCCTTGTGCGTCTCTGATGCCACTTTATAATCTCCTGTGGTGCTATTCTAATAAACTGTCATCATTAATCATCATGACAGGTCTCGTTGGAGTCTTTAGTTTCATGATTCAGCTCCATTTTGAATGACTTTGAGATTTTAAAAGTAGATATATGTGGTCAAATTGCAACATGACGCCCCCCCCAGACGTAAACTGTCAGTTTTGCGTCACTGTTCACTCGAAATGTTTGTTTTTCATTTTCTCTTTTACCTTGCTTTGCTGCGTGTCCTGCGGTCGCATGTGATCCATCTCCGTCTGTTTGATCCGTGTTTTTATGTCACGCGGACTTTACTTTCTCTCTGCAGGAACCAGGAAGCGCGTGAGATTCTCACGTTTAAACGTCTTCGTTGCAACCGGAGAGTGAAACATTTACATGTTCTGTGCCGCCTCGTGGTTTAGTGTCTCACCTTTAAAAGGAATATCTCACGTTGTCGACAGAACGAGCTGCTCTTTCTCTGGTTTCCTGCTGGAAGATAAGCAACATGTTGTTGCTTTCTTTTACTTCTCTTTTCTGCAGCCACCCAATCAGGTTGAGAGTGCGGCCATAAAGGCTTATCAAACCGAAAACACAAGCGAGCTTTTTTTTCTTCTTCTCCTGACGACACGCAAGCGCAGTCCGCCTTATTTGTTTCCGTCACACCTGTTTACACCTGTTTTACACACACAGGCTGCGCGTGACAGGCAGCTGTGGCCTACGTAAAGGTGGTTTTACATACTGCGGTCAAGTCAGCAGACACTCAGATCTCCGTGGTCAACTCAGCAGACACTTAAATTGTAGTGCACATATACGCTGAAACTTACGGTAAACGCACCCAAACGGCACAGATCGGGAGCGAGCGAAGAACTTTGCAAAGTTAGAGGAAAGATTAACGTGAGACAACTTCCGGTTTTCTACAGACGAACATCCGGTTTTCAGAATAAGATGGCAACAAAGTATACATATTGCATAATGAAATGAGATTAAATGAATTATATTCACATTAAGTATAAAACATGCTACCTGAGTTAAAGGGAAAATACACCTAAATTGTGCGTAAAGTGTCTTTATTCTTTGATTTGAGGGTTGCTGGAAGTTAATAATACCTGACTGACGGTCAATTAAGATATTTTACGAAGCAAAAACTCTGAACTGAATTTGTATCTTCAAATGGCACATTTTTTAAATGTTTAAGGTGCTATAAAAATGTTTTTCTCAATAAGTCCAGACAATGACTGACATGTATGTGTTGGGGACATCGTTGACTCTACCCATACTGAATATTAGACATTTTTACTGTACCAATTAAGAGATATTTCAAATTAAAGCTCATACATTTGAATCGAGAAAATATCTAATAAATGGATATTTGAAGTGTAATAAAAAGTATTTTCTCAATAAGTCCAGGCAATGACTGACATGTATGTGTTGAGGTCATCGTTGACTCCACCCACACTGAAAATTAGACATTTTTACTGTCCCAATTAAGAGATATTTCAACTTAAAAGTCATACATTTGTACCCAGAAACGGGTACATTTCTGAATATTTGAGGTGCTATAAAAACTATTTTCTCAATAATTCCAAACAATGACTGATGCATATAAGTTGAGGAAATCTCTGACTACACATATACAGAAAATTAAACATTTTTACTGTGGTAATTAAGAGATTTTTTAAAGTAAATGTCCTACATTTGTTCCAATAAATATCCAATAACTGAATATTTGAAGTGTTTCCTCAATAATTCCAAACAATGGTTAATGTATACAGGTGCATCTCAATGAATTAGAATATCATCGAAAAGTTAATTTATTTCAGGAATTCAATTCAAAAAGTAAAACTCATATATGATATAGATTCATTACACACAAGGTGATATATTTCAAGTGTTTATTTCTTTTAATGTTGATGATTATGGCTTACAGCTAATAAAAAACCCAAATTCTGTATCTCAGAAAATTTGAATATTACATAAGACCAATTTAAAAAAGGTTTTTTAATACATAAATGTTGGCCTACTGAAAAGTATGTGCATGTACAGTATAAAGTATGTACTCAATACTTGGTCGGGGCACCTTTTGCATGAATTACTGCATCAATGCGGCATGGCACGGAGGCGATGAGACTGTGGCCCTGCTGAGGTGTTATGGAAGCCCAGGTTACTTTGGGGCCTTCAGCTCATCTGCATTGTTGGGTCTGATGTCTCTCATCTTCCTCTTGACAATACCCCATAGATTCTCTCTGGGGTTTAGGTCATTCAAGAATTTGGTTGAGAATCACAAGGAGTGAACTGCGGCAGAGTGGAGAGGCACACAATCCAAGTGTCTTGAGGTCCAGTGTGAAGTTTCCACAGTCAGTGATGATTTGGGGAGCCATGTCAGCTGCTGGTGTTGGTCCACTGTGTTTTATCAAGTCCAAAGTCAGTGCAGCCTTCTACCAGGACATTTTAGAGCACTTCATGCTTCCCTCTGCTGACGAGCTTTATGGAGATGCTGATTTCATTTTCAAGCAGGACTTGGCACCTGCCCACACTGCCAAAAGCACCAATACATGGTTTAATGACCTGTGAGTGAAACTAAATAAAAGTAAATATTGTTACTGAGTTTCTTCATGATATCCTGAATGACTTAAGATGGCCCCCAGACCACAGTTGGGGAACCCAATAAAATATGACAGATTGCCCATAAATTATCACCTAATGAGCAATAAAACCAGCCAGGTCTCATTACCTGGGCACCAAACGCCTTGGTGTTTTATACCCACACACAAGGCTTCCTTTAGAGATCAAACAATAACTACTGAAACATGCTGACATTTTCAGCTTTGTGCCATTTGAACATATTTTTGTATATGACAACAGACTGATGCAACACGTCAGCAGTGACGCTCATTGATGCAATATGTTTCAAAGACATAACTTAGATATGTCATATGTGTTAAAATAGGGCTGGGCAACATGGCCACAATATAGATCATTTCATATATCGAATGAATGAAATATATATATGTATCCCGATAAGTTTTCTGGTAGTTCAATAAATAAAGCTTGTTTTTCTACACACCTGAGTGAATTAAATATTTGACAAATGAAAAGTACAGAGTATTTTCTCATTATATGAAGAAATTTAGTGCAAAATGAACATAACAGTGAAATCATAGAAAAAAAAAATTACATTTCCAGCTATACTCTGACTGTTTACATGCATGCACACAAATACAGAGTAATCAGATTACAGAGAATAGTTTGATTTAACTGAGTTTGATCAGATCATTTTATAAATTTAAATTAGCATGCGCCTAGATGACGTAATTGTGTATCATGATAACTTGATATATGATGTCATCGCGATATGATTCCACTGACGGGACCGGTATTACCGGACGACCTCACGTCATTTTAAAATTGTGTTGCATTCACATTCATAAATCTGTATTTTACTCAAATTTACTGACATTATCCCTCAGATATGTTGTCAAGGCTCTACATCCACTTATATGAAAAAATAATACACTATATAATATTTACATTTAATATTATGAATATTATTATATTATATAGGCCTATTTATGTGTCACAAAGACCTCAATGCTGTAGCGAGATGAGCCTCCTGGAATTGCACCCAAGATGTTTTTATTTATTAATTGCCAACGCTGTTCATTCTGGAACACAAACGAGTGAGAAAAAAAACAAGAAAACTGGCAAAAAAAATTTGCACGGGACTCATATTTTCACCGGACCTCTGCGTTCGGCTAAATATGGTCGGTCATTTGTGGTGGAATTTTTTACTTGACAAATTACGGCCATGGTAGATTTCACAAACAACCTCCGAGTCCCCCAGGTAATACTTGTGAATAGAACTAAAGACATAAATACTACACACAAATGTCCAATGTTGGTCAAATCAACTCATAAATATGACAAAAAAAATTGAAAAAACATGACTTCCAGTCTCACTTGACTTCAGTAACAGTAACTTCACCTTTTGACACGGTGAGTAAAGAACACGTTGACATCCCTCACAGAGGTTTAGTGTTCCTCTCTCCACCCACTGTCTCCACCCATCTCACTCCCTCCTCCCCTGAAAGAGAGAGCCTTATTAAAACCAGACTACCTTTACATGACTTGGAGCAGTGTAGTCCTGTTCTCTGTCTCTTCAGGCTGAAACCATTCAACAGAGACTCGTTTGGAAAGGTAATCCTTTCACGCTGAAGCTGTCTGTTTTGTCCTCCTGCTGTCGCTGCTGTCGGTTGAGAACTCCTTGGAGCAGGTTTTTCTGTCTTGTCGGGTCGGTTTTATTAACTGTGCCGTGTGAATGTTGGGCCAGGCTGGCGTGTCTTTCTACTATATCATAGAGAAGCATGGTTAGATTGGTTTGATGGTGTATTCAAAAAGACACTCAGCTACTTCAGGGCATAAGTAAATGAGAAGCACATTAGTGAACACACCTTTCTTCTTTACATGTTATGTCATGCACGATACACCGGCTCTCATCTGCACAAAAGTGTTTTTTCTCTGGTGTCACATACTTGTGTTCAGGAGGAACATAATGTAACAGAGAGGGGGAGGGGGAAACAGTTAGGTTTTTAGTTTGCTTTATCAATTTCTCATTGATTTAAATGTATAAAAGTTTACTTTATGAGTTTACTTTTTTCACAGCGCCAACACTTGAATCATCCTGGCATCGTCGAGTACGAGCGAAAACATGAGGTAAGGACAAAAGTCAAAGCACCCGGAAAATATGTTTAAAGGATCAACAAATCTCACGAAAAAAAGACCAAAACCAACAATGTGTCAGCTCGTCTCCCTCTAACTTGCCTGCCCTGTCTGTGGCACTCATCCCTTCACTCATCACTGGAGATGTCTTTAAAAAAAGAGGTCACAAATAGACATTTGGTTTCCAGTTCATCGGGTACACCAATTAGCTCAAAGTAATAAATCGTCCTTCATGAAAGTTATAATGTTCAGTTATTGTTGACACTGTTTGTAGAGAAGTGTTGGTTCAACTTCACGATTATTTTGGAGGGTGCAGTTGTTTGTGCTGATGTTGAAATGTAATCTCATGCATTGTGCTGACAGGCGTTTCCACAGAATTCATACCAACAAGTTAAGACCAGAAACAACTCTCTGTTGCAATAAAGTTCAACAGCACCACAGATGAAATCACTGTGAAGGCAGGATTATTGCAGGGCTGTTGCATTCGACTACATTAGTTTGAGCCAGGTGTGCCAAATAAACGAGCAACTCAAGGTTTACTTCCATCTATTTAGGAGGATAAGTAATAATAAAACAGCTGGGCACTGTGAAACTTCAAAAAAATGTTCAGTGCAATTCTTTTGGAGACTATTTTCAGCAGCAAATGTGGTGCACTTGTGTCTTCTGACAGCAGGCTGATGGATATTGGATAAACTCAAATAAATACAGCGCTCATGTTCATTGTGATGGAGGAACGTGTCAGCCGGTGAAAAGAAATAAGCTGAGTCCAGCTTTGACCACATGGTGAATACTTGTGTGGATCAAATACTTGTTGGTTTTGGTCTTTTCATTTGTGGACAATAAGAAAAACACAGAATAACTCCAGACTTAAACTGTGTTGTCTGAGCACATCCGTCCTCTTAAAATGGTTTAATGTAACATAATCGTGTCACGCAGGGTGCAAACCTTCTCGAGAGCACAAATTCTGCAGGATTTTCGTGTGCGATGTCAGGCGCTCGCAGCCAACGACAACAGAGGCCTCAAACAGGAGTTTGAGGTACGTTTTTTAAACTTAAACTTAAATCAGATGCCTGATTTGTGAAGCTAATATAGATCTTTGGCTCTGTGAAGGAGCTGGATGAAGTTGGCAAAGACCTCCCTACCAAAGTGGGGGAATCGGTGGCCAACAGAGAGAAGAACAGATACCCCTACATATTGCCATGTAAGTCCAACTCCACATCAAACGAGAGCAGATTACAGAAAGTATGTACGAGACTTATTTGTTTGCTCTCCGTCTGGCTGCAGATGACCACTGTCGCGTGAGGCTGTCAGTTCAAAACTCCCAACCACACACCGACTACATCAACGCAAATTTTGTGCCCGTAAGACCTCGTTTCACCTCCTCCTTTGTCATTTCAATCAGTCCGTCCTACTGCTTTACCACCAAGTCAGTCCGGCTCCATCTGTTAATGTCTGTATTCAGGGTGGAGAATCAGAGAGAGACTTCATCTGCACACAGGGCCCTCTGCACAACACCGTGGCCGACTTCTGGAGGATGGTGTGGGAGCAGAACGTCAGGATAATTGTCATGGTCACGGCGCTGAGACACAAGGGCCAGGTCTGACATTAAACCCTTTTCCTCACCTTGTCACTGTCACTAAAGATCTCTATTATTTCACTTCTGAAATCTATGTGGAACGCTTTAGGAGTGTAACCAAAGTCAGTGGTACCAGACAGCAGAAATATGGATCATATCATGCAACTGTTATCCCCGAATGTTTTTAAAAATAATATATTTTAAATGTTAGAGACACAAATCAACCTTTACATTTACCCTGTATTTGTCAGGTGCTGAAAGATTCTCTGCTCAAGAACAAAGTGAGAAAGACACACTCAGTTTGTGTGTCTGCTTGTTACGTGCTCATCTTACTCCTCTGACAACATAGACTTTTTGGGGAAAAGATTGACACCACTCTCTCTCTCTCTGTACACTAAATACGAAGCTACAGCCAGAAGTTGTGTTAGCTTAGCATAATGACTGAAAATAGAAGGAAACAGCTAGCCTGGTTTAAGACTCTCAGATACCCTAAATATGAATTAGTGATCCAGTGTGGTGCTGGTAGGCCGATTCCTTTTTAAAATCTTGAAACAGAGCCAGGCTAGTTGTTTCCCTCTATTTCCAGTCTTTGTGCTAAGCTAGGCTAACCAGGTGCTGGCTGTAGCATCATACTCACCCTACAGACATTAAAGTGGTATCAATCTTCTCAGCTAACTCTTGGAAAGAAAGTGAATGAGAGTAAATGTCAAACTCTTCCTTTGATGTACATCCTCTCTGTAAATCCCACCCGTGTACAGGTGATGTGTGATAAGTATTGGCCTCAACGAGGGACAGTTCATCATGGACTGATCCAAGTGACGACAGTGACCCGCAAACAAGGTCCGGATTATTTTATCACCACCATTAACCTCAGACAGGTGAGCAAAAGAAACGACCCTCAGACCCTTTAAACTGCTGCTGTTGACTTGTGTGCACTGACCGCACTAGTAATCAATCAGAGAAGAAGAAGAAGCCCTTGTGGCCAGATTGAAGGAAAGTGTTTTGTGTTTCAGAGAGATTGTCCAACAGACAGGTTAATCACACACTACTACTACCCTGCCTGGCCGGACCGGGGCGTCCCTAAAGACTTATCCTCACTCGTTGCCTTCACTGAGCATGTGCGGCAGGAATTGGAAGCGGCTCCACGCATCGGGCCGGCTGTGGTGCACTGCAGGTGTGACCTCTGACCTCCAGCCTATCACCCTGTCGAGGTTTTCAACACATCAGGTGGTGCATGAGACGGTGTTTAAAGTCAATCCTTGTGTTTGTGCGTTGCAGTGCAGGTGTTGGGCGTTCGGGGACATTTGTGACGATGCTGTGGCTGATGCAGCTGTGTGCGAGGGGCATCCTGGCGGATATCCGGGCTGCTGTGCAGGATCTACGGCTACATCGGATGTGGATGGTCCAGAATCTGGTCAGTCCAGTAGTGAGACTCACTTGCAGTGGTGGAAGAAGTATGGAGATCTTTTAAATAGCAATAACAAAGTGTTTTAAAAAGTACTCCCTTACCAGCGAACGTCCTGAGTTCAAAGCATTAGCAGCAAAATTCAATTAAGGTGTCAAAAGTACTCACTATGCAGATTTAATATACTTCCGAGTAGTTTACGTGCAATTATCTAGGCAATTAGTAGGCTACTTGTATCAAAAGCAAAAGTCCTCATTATGGAGGCCATCTTAACTTAGCGAGATGCTAAGCTAAACCGCTGAAAGTCGCTGCATATTTCACAAACAAATATTGAGAGTGGCATCGATCTTCTTATGCTGGCAACAAAGCTATAAACATAATCCACAAAATGTCTATTTCATTAGTACTATGTGTAACAATGCATAAAATGTGCTCATAAGCCAATTGTAGTAGTTATCTTTCTGAACAAAACCTGTACAGAGCTTATTTTCTGAAATAATCCAAAATCCAATGAAATATCTCATCGGCTTATCGTCGAGGGAACCGGTGATGCTAGCTTCCTGGTCTGGCCTACAAAAACACACCACCTCTGCAACTCTCTATTCCCGTTTAGCCTGCAGTATTACCTGTACTTTCATGCACACCATATATCTGTCATCTCCACACATTAATACTGTGCGCTCTACTGTTTCGTCACCAACAGGAGATCCTCATTACCTGCTCACTGGTTCTTTTGTGTGTTCTCAGGAGCAGTACCTGTTAGTTCATCAGTGTCTGCTACACTGGCTCAGTGGAGGAACCTCAGCACGGTGAGAATACAGAAATAAGCTCCCAGAGAGCCCCAACACACTTCAAATTCAGTCTCAGCACAGGCAGCGTATAATTAGTCATTGTAAGGAAATATGATATATTAATTTTGGTGTTCTCTCTTCTCCAGCAGGCCACAAACTCAGGGAGCCAGTTCAAATATTAACAACCACATTCAAGATCAACCCCACGGCTCCTCGGGTCGGCTGAGGAGACACCAGCATCCTCGACAGACGGCTGCAGGAGACCGACAGCAGAACCCGATGCAGCAGGTTTTACACCCCGGGCAGCTACTGAGGAGGTGGTTTAATCCCGGCTCACACTCCTGAACCCACGAACTGTAAAGCAACAAACCAAAACGAGCAAAGCTCCGGGTTACAGAAAAAAAACAGTAAGCGTGCCCTCATACAGAGACCCTGCAGTGTGCGCTGTAGGACGACATGTCCTGCAGGTGGAAAACTGGACGAGCAAACAAATCCTGGTAGGAAACCGCCGACGCTGCAGTTTGCATTGCAGAAGGAAAAAAGTGGTAAAGTAACCAGCCAGTCAGGTCGAACCTGCTCCTCTACTAGGAATTACTCGCCGTGACATCGACAACAATGCTCTCTGTGCACGCAGTTAAATACAGACGTTGTGATAGTTTCTGCATCTTAGTTTGCCTCCACTATGGATGAAGTGATGTTGCGAGATGACTTTTTATTTAGGTTGTTTTTTTTAAATCGTTGTGCAGTATTTTATAACCACACTTTAGTTTGGTAAAGGATGCATGTGCAGGACTGGTAGCAGACTTGCTATTAAAAAGGCAGACACACGGTGTAGTGGCTGTACAAAAAAGGTCATGTTTCAAAAACACACAGGCACTGCCATTCTCCTTAGATGACTGGAACCCATTACAGTACATGAAGGAGCTATGAGTATTTTACATTATAGAACATGAAAGGGCTAACCCACTTCTTAAGAGTCTTTCATCTGTCGTGTAATAAACATGTATGATACAAGAGATAAGTCATCCGGGTGAGTTTTGGGGGGAAATAAAGGAGGATGCAGCAGCGCTCCCTCTGCGTCTCCACCGTGTGGTAAGTGCTAGTAGCTGCAGGGCGTATTGCAATAAAGTCCGTGTGTCCTGGTGTGATTTGATGCTGCTGAGCGGGTCCAACAGCAAGCAGGCGGAAATCACTCACAAGTGAATCGTCTCCGGAGAACTTGAGCTCACAACTAAGACGAGCAAAGTACAAAGAAAAATGAGCTTTTAACCTACGTTGGGCCAATTAATGCTGTCTGTAATACCGGGGAGGTATTTCACCGTGACACTCCACAGTGACCAAGGCAGATGAGAGAGGAAGTAGAGCAACAAAAGGATTTCTATGAAAAGCAGCATAGTGAAAATATATATGAACTATATTACACATTAAAACTGAACAGGGAATGAAAAAAGTCCAGACTATTGGCAAAAAGGAGAACCAACAGTTAAAATAACATTTAAATTAGAGTTCAGGTCCATTATAAAGGTTAGACAGCCTTTGGCCAAAGAAAAAGAAAACAAGAGTTGAGAGATCGCCTCAATAAGACGGATTCTTAGCTGTATTGGTTGTATGTACAGTCTGTGAATGTAAGATACGCTGACACATGATGAATATAAACATATACATGCCCCCCTCAGAGACCACCAGAGGGTGTGAGAGGATAGAAAACTACCGATAATGAGCAATCAAAGGCTGGGTGAAGAGAAAAGAGGTCGAGTCCATTCCACGGTTCTCCTTTCAGTCCCACTAGTGCACGCTCTCCGACAGGTTTATAGCTTCCTGGATTTCGCGGATGACGAGGATGCGGGCGAGCATCTGCTCCAGCTGTTCTTTTGGGATGGGTTGAGTGGAGTACCAGATGGGGCTGTTGGGAGCCACCACGGGCTCAGGAGTCAGGTAGAAGGTGTCGTTGCGACCTTTAGCGCTCTGAGGACTGACGGAGAACACAGATGTCAAAGTTATAGTTTTAGCCCCGTCTCTGCCAACATCACAATCTCATTAAATCTTCTGCAAATGAGAGAGAGGGTCAGTGGAAACGTGTGCTGTCATGTTACATTTCTGGTCATTTAATTCCAGTGAAGGATAAATCAGTGTTTTTACACTCTGGCTCTTATTCTTGAGGTGTCGGCCACCATTCCCTTTGTCCCGTTGGCATCGGGGCTGTGACTAACAATTACTTTCATTAAGGATCTGGTGATTATATTCTCCATGTATCGTGTGGGTGATGTGTGAATGATTACATTTTCTCAGAGCCAAAGACGACGTCTTCAATCGCATGTTCTCTCTGATCATCAGGTAAGACTCACAAATATTTGCTCGAAGAATTACTGAAACAGTGAATCGACTGATTGATTCATCATTTCAGATTATCCCCCAATTCCCAAATTGAGAGGGTCACATCTTTTTTGGGGGAGGTGCCAAATAATTTATTTTCATTTAATCCTCTATTATAAAGCATCCAGGTGTGTTGAAATATTGGATTTGTGTTTCAATAAATCAAATAAAGTGTTTAAAAGTTAAGTTTCCGGATGAAAAATGTAAATATTTACCATTTGAAGAGGTAGAAATCGTAGAGCTTGATGGGACATCGCAGCGGGTTCTCCGGGTCCTCCAGCTGCTCCGAGTACATGTCGTCTGTGACTGAACAAAGACACAAACATTATAAAACTGGTTGTTTATCCTAAATATAGGGTTACTTGTCAGACACCACAGCACAGAAATATAAAGATCCTGTGCGCTCTTACCTTTCTGTCCTATGAACCTCTCGGTTGACTTCAGGTATCGGATGCTGGTGCTCTTGTCTTTGGGGTTGTTGGGACTCTTCCTGGTGTGTCTCAGCACCTTAGAAAAGGCCACTTTAAGATGCTGATCCACTGTCTTCAGGTGGAAATACCTGTTAAAAGATATACGGGATACATTCACTGATTTGTGTGTTATGGGATCAGAGGGGAGACATAGAACAACAGCAGGCGTCTTGTGTAGATTTATATTTGGCTGATATGTGATGATGATATTGCTCTTAAGGATTATTGCAACACTCTCCTTTCTGGTCTACCAAAGAATACAATAAGACAGCTACTAATAACACATATTACGTCTATTTATAAATCATTTCCTGGTTACCAGATTTGACAGTTCTTTTATTTACTACGTGGCCTTGCATCAGACTGCCTCTGGTTTCTCTCTTTCAGCTGCTCCACAAAACACAACAAGACGAAGTTGCTTTCAGACATCATGCTCCAAGAAGCTGAAATATGAATATTTCTAAACAGAAACTACAAACCCATCTATTCAGTCTAGCTTTATTTTCTTAATGTTTAAAATTTCATGTTTTTATTATTATTGTGTTATATTACATCTGATTTTATACAGCATCTTATGTGGTTTGTTTGCTATAGTTTTAGTATTTATAAATATTTGAATTCTTATTTTACTCAAATCTTTACTTTCTTTTATCATGAACATTTTATTCAGTGGTGTAATTAATTTTTCTTTTGGTTTGCATCAGTCTCTTCACCTTCTCTCAGTTTTCTTTTGTTTTCATCTTGTCAATAATTTGCAAAGCACGTTGGATGGCATTTGATTTGTTTATAAGGTGCAACAGATATAAAACTTTATTGATTGATTACAACGGGCAATATTACAGCATGTCTATTAAACAGGATGGAGAAAGAGACTCATGTGATGACTGAAGTCAACTCACTTGGTGTTGAAGAACATTAGAGTTGTGAGCAGCGTGGAGGGAGAATGAGCTCCCAGCTGTTTACATTCCCACAGCATCTCCTCCGTCACATGACTGGGAATGATATAACCTGGAAGTGGAGGTAAAGAGGATTGTGAGACTAGAGAGGATATAACCTGGTAGTGGAGGTAAA